CTTTACCAGGTGAAGATGGTACAAGCCCATGAAGATGGTACAAAGGTGAAGATGGTACAAGCCCATGACAAATTTGTCTGCCCAAGGACATTCAAAGTTGGTGACCTCTGTGCTAAAAAGGCCTATTCTTGCATGCCGCAAAATAGGTGGAAAATTTGAGCCAACTTGGGAGGGACCATTTCTCATTGAAAAGTTCTACACAGGAGGAGCCTACCTATTAGTGGACTTCCAGGATGAAAGAGCCATGTTACCAATAAATGGACGATATCTGAAAACCTATTACGCAACCTGATGCCGCTTGCCTCTGCTTGCTTTGAAACCTTAGAATCTTTGATTGTTTTAGGGTTATTGCCGCTTGCCTCTGCTTGCTTTGAAACCTTAGAATCTTTGATTGTTTTAGGGATATTTATGTGGAAAGGAAAATTCCTAACTTGACCAAATTTTTTGTAATTAACCTCAATATAATGAAAATTTTGAGAAAGAAATTTTAAACTTCAAATTTTCTCCTTTCTACCTTTTGAGTATAATATTCTACTAAATTAAAATACATAAAATAAACAATTCATTTCACCAAAATAAATTAAAATTTACTTTAATAAATGCTTCATTTTGTTCTTATTCATGACAAGTTTCGGCCCACTGAAATTTTTCCCGTCGTCTGCAAAAAAATGTTGGGACAGAGGCTGATCTTTGCTTTCAAGGATGGCTGGAGCCTTGCACTAAATGAGGAGATGGCGCCGCAGGGTGGTACCATAGACTTTAACATGGATTTTAACCAAGTTGACATGGACTACGAAGGTCCTCTCATGGATGTTGTCAGTTGCAAAGAGAAAGAGGGATTTCCTTCACTATTGAGGGTGGCTTCTAAAAATACTGTATCGCACAAAGGCAAGAACGTGATAACAGAGCAAGATCTGTGGAAGAGCCCAGCCGTCTTCCCTCCATGGTAGCTACATCAGTCAGGGGCCTAGTAGCCGCCAATAACAAATGACTGCCAAGTACTTTGCTTTGCAGGACGCAATGCAGGAACGCCAGCTGTAAGAGGTAGAAAGTTTTTCTACGACAAGAATGCAGACGTCAGAGAGAGACAAACAACTTGCTCACCCCTAATCTTGAGGAGCATATTTATGATCCAGACCTGAAAGAAACTTCTGCTAGCCTACCCACCACGGATGAAGTACCGATGTTCGTGACAGAGTCAGATACACTTTTAGTTTTAGATGTTTTATACAAGGGTTTATCGACGTGAAATACTGAAATACCAACCGGGACATTGCAATGTTCTACATTTACAGCATTTCAGTACATTGGAAGAGTATACCTCAAGCATTGATGGGTATCAAAATTCAAATTTTATGATGGATGAGCCATACTTCCCACTAGGGACAGATCAGTATGTACCATGGAGCCCAGTGCCGTACATCCCGCTAGATGTCGAGTCTCGTGTTCCAGATTAACCAGCGCCAGTTTGGGTTCCTGCCAATGCTCGAAGGGAGGAACAACCGCAATAGCTACCTACCCCAAGTAGAATGGAGTACTACAAGATAAGTAAAGTAAATAAAAGAAAATTTGAATTTTATGAAGAAGTTCAGGGAAAATTCATCAACATACTGGGGGGATTAGAACTCTATACCAGAGTCTTCTTAGAGACTGGCGAACAAAGTATACTTGACTATATTTTTGACCTAAGGGACAGAGGTCGAGCAGCTTTACTTATGGAAAGGACCTATTTCGAGCCAAGGAAATGGATGCGAGGAAAAGGGAGGATTACTATCCAGTGTGACTGCTGCTGCTACAACTTCACAAATGACAGAGAGGGGAATCCTCCTGGGATACTCAGACACGATCAAGTAGATCCACTACCACCAATGATAAAGTGGATGATCAAAAGAATGGTCAAATGGCGTATTCTTCCTGCCACCTGCATTCCAAATAGTTGTATTATCAACATCTATGACGAGGGTGATTGCATTCCTCCACACATTGATCATCATGATTTTGTAAGAACCTTTTGCACGGTCTCATTTTTGAGCAAGAGAAATATTTTATTTCTTTATTTGGGAAAAAAATTGATATTGTTGTCCCTGGTGAGTTCAGAGGTTCTGTGGAGATTCCTCTACCAGTCGGTTCAGTGCTCGCTCTTAAAGGCAATGGTACAGATGTCGCCAAACATAGCATTCTAGGGGTACGAAACCGTAGGGTGTCTGTGACTTTCCACAGGATGGATGATAGTAAAATGCCATATGGATTCCAACCAGACCCAGAACTGGAAGAGCTACTACATTACGAGCTATGAGAGGGTTGTACCTCTAAGTACATTCGAAGGGAACCCTTATCCCGGAGCATGACTTAGAAGGTCTGCTTGATCAGGAGCTCGTCGTACCTGGTACAGATGGTCAGAGGGTTCACTTTTTTTTATATAGCAACATGATATGTATCTGATATATTCAGCCTATAGTATATTCATAGCATGAGATGTTCTGAATGTATTTTGACATAGACTATATATTGTACCTTTTTGAGGCGTTAGCCTATGTTCGATCTGTAGCATCTTTATGGGAGCAGATTAATAGAAATTTCTCTCAAAATGTGCCTTTTTGTCAGTTGCCTTTTGGTGCGATGGATGAAAGCCATGAACGACGCGTTGGTTCAGAATTTCAATGAACAAAGTACGAAAAAACAAATCTTTAACAATAAATAAAATTTAAATAAAAACAATCACCAATGAATAAACAACAAAACAAATCTCTTTCAAAAATCAACAAAATAAAATTAAAACCTTAAAAATATATTTTGAAAAATTAAATGTGATAAAAACAGGAAGAAAAGGAAATGAATCTGTTGAGTGGACTTTCTCATTTTTGGAGTTTCTTACTTTTTGTGCGCGCAGCAAAACCATCTTTATCTACATTAACTTTCTTGACATCCCCACGGAATTTCACATTCTACACAAAACCACACAAAACTTTGCACATAGAGGTATGGAGAGAAGCTATGGTAGAAGAAATAAAGATGACCAAGTAAAATAAATCAGGGAGCTAATAGACTCTCCACAAAAAAAATGTGGTAGCTTGATTCAAGTGAATGTACAAGACCAAACCCAATTCTGATAAATCAATTTAGAAACATAAAAAATTATTACTTGCTATGGGATGCTAACAAAAAATTAAGTTGACTATACTGAGACGTTTGCTTCAGTTGCATGACATGAAATAATAAAATCATTAATAACACTTGATGAGTGGAAGATATAGCATCTTGATGTAAAATTTACATTTCTAAATGAATACTTGGAAGAAGATATTTATGTGCAAAAATATACAAGGTTTGTAGTACAAGTTCAAGAAGGCAAATTTCTTATGTTAAAACAGGATTTGTATAGATTAAGGAAAGCTCTAACAGCTTGGTACATTCTAATTGACAACTAATTCATAAAGCAAGGCTTTAAGAGAAGGAAAAGTGAGCCAACATTGTATGTCAATACTTAAGGTACAAGCTTCCCTACATGTAGATGATCATATCTATGCAGAAAATAATGAGAAGAAGGTAAAATATTTTTAAGAAGACATGATGAAGAAATTCGAGATGACTAACTTTGGTATGATGCATTATTTTTATTTGGGATAGATGCAATTTGAAATGAAAGAGGGATCTTCATCTCACAAACGAATTAAACAGAAAAGTTTAAGATAAATATTTACAAGATAGTAACTACTCCACTAGCCAACCATACATTAAAGAAAGATAATAATGCACCATGGCTCACAACGCATTTGATCAAAGTCTCATTGGAAGCTTATTTTTTTTATCAACGATGAGACCAGACATCAGGTATGCATCATGTATACTCTCAAGATTTTTGCAAAGTCCAAGACAAGTTCTTCAAGTTGCAACTAAGAGAGTTCATAGATCTTTTCAAGGAACAAAGAACTATGGTATTTGAAATGAATCCATCCTTAGCTCAAAGCTAATTGAATATACTGATAATCATTGGGTGACATAAGGAGCACCTCAGGATATGCATTCACATTAGGTTTAGAAATTGTTTTTTGGATATTAAGTAAATAGGTAACTGTTGCATAATCATCAGCTAAAAGAGAATAAATCGTAACTCCCACAACTACAAGCCAAGCTTTGTGGATAAAATATATAGTAATAGATATAGACCGTCAAGAAAAGAAGCTACAAAATCTATTGTGATGGAAATTCAGCTATAACAATAGCAAACAATCTTATATTTAATTTCAAGGTAGAACTAAATATATTGGTATCAAATATCATTTCATTAGAGAAGCCGAGGCCAAACAAGAAATTAAACTCAAGCATTAGAAGACTGAAGAACACTAGCACACATATTCACGAATGTACTTCGAAGATGAAAGTTTGAACTATTACTCAATCTCATTGGAGTAATCGTAATCCACATCAAGGAAGAGTGATAAGATCGATACAGTTTCTCCAATACTCTAGCATATTCTATCTAATCTTAAGAAAGAGGTTCTAAGAAGTTGGTATTAAATGAGAATGCTCTAGACTATTTAAACAGGAAGAATCTAGAATATGTTTTTTAGAAAAAAATTGTAAGGGTTTAGAAGATTGTAGATATAGACTGTCATGTGTATAAATAAGCATAACTTGATGCTCTCATGCACGTTTACCCAACCAAGTTTAGTAAAAAAAATTCACCATTCTCTCTTCAAAAATTTCCAATAATTTGTTTAACAAATCTCATTCTAAATTTAACTTCAACATCAGAGATACATGTCAGTCAAACATAAAGACAGCACCTTAAATTTTACAAAATAACTAATTTTAATTGTAAACGTCTCTAATGCGGTGTTCTAAATATTAAATAAAGCAACAAAAACCATATAAATTTTAACTAAGCATCAATAATTCTTATATCTCACATCAAAATATCAACAGTACATTCAAAGATAACCACATATCAGTTACTCTGTATGAACATACGTATATAAGATAACCACATATCAGTTACTCTGTATGAACATACGTTACATACGTATATAAATATAGATAAATAGGTAGAAGAATGTAGTATCCCATTCACTCATGGCGAACATAGACGTCATACTCGACGATAGCGTCACCCGTGAGGAGGTCAAACTTGTGCGTTCGAGCAAGTGCGTATCCCCTAGCATAGCGAAACTTACCACTGCCACCTACCACTGGCATCTCTCTCACATCGGAAAAGACGGTATTCCGGCCGAGCACGGTAAGTGTGCTTCCATTGAAGTCTCCGTCGACGAAGGCGAGGTTCATGGCCATAAGAAGTCCGGCCTCCTCCTGTGAGGCAAGTGCGTACATTCCCTGTGCGTGTCCGAGCAGCTTGGAACTTCTGTCGGGGCCTTCGGTGAGGGGATCGTCTATCATCACAACCGCTCCGAAACCGGTGGTGGAAAATGTGGTGGTGGGGGCCTGCGCTACACGGATGGCGGTGGGAGTGAACCCGCTTACGACATCGTGGAAGTAGAAGTGGATGTGAGTCTCTTCCTCGTCTGCAGAGACTGTTGGATGAGGGTGGACGCAAAGTAGAAGGAAGAGGAGGAAGATTGCCGTAGCTAAAGACATGCTGGGTTTAATGGAGGGATTCCAGGGAGGAGGAGAAAATAAAGGTGGCATATTTATATTGTTAAAAATTGTAGGAGATTGTAAATAGTTAAGCAGTAGTTGGAGAAGGTGAGGGTGGGAAGAAATTGGTCATCTGAAGATGCAATTGAAAATACAATTATATATAACACGTTAATGAAGTTGCTGGAAAATAATTAAATAAATGAAGTTGCTGGAAAATAATTAAACAAATATCGGAACTGCATAATGCAATCTCACATAGAAAATTTTTTTTTAACAAGTGCTGAGAAAAAATAAAAAATATTTCAAAATATATTGTGTCTATTGTCTGAACATAGCTCACGCCGGAGCTCCGAGATAATTATCTTGGACGATTTGAGACGTAATTATTGGGGTCCAAATTCTGATGTATTTTACGAATAAGGTTTTTTTCTTTTATTAGTTTAGCAGCTATTATTATATTATGTTTTCAGTTTTATTTTTACTATATAACTGCCTATTTTCTGAGTGCGCGCATATTTATTTAAGATTGTGGCATTTGTTGTTTAATAAAATCATAACCATGGAAATTTTTAGAAGTGTAATGCAAATCTTTTCATTTTATTTTAAAATTACATTGTTAGTTAAATGCTTAATTTTGATTAGAAAACCGGCTTCCTAGCCATGAATGATAAAAGTCGATATAAGCTTCCGCTGCCAAGTTTGTAGCTGATGATTAGTTATGTTATGTAGTCTAGGCAGAAGAGATTATAATGGCACTCAAAGAATTTTATTATGTTAAATCCATCCAACTTAAATCCTCACAATCATATATACAGAACTATGTACTTTAATAATCAAATTAAATCTTCACAAATCAAATATACAGAACTATGTACGTTAATAATCAAATTAAACTTTATGCACAGCATGAATGCGTAGAAGTGTATGCGATAAATAAAAGGTGTGATCATGGTGATTAAAAATTCTTTGTGGTGGTGTTCTACCAGCCACTAATTTATGGTAAAAGGGTGTCCTCAAAGTAGTGAAAAACACCAAAGATTGTTGGTGGATTGTAATGGCATGAAAGTGGATGAAAGTGGTTGGCCAACACCTAGTAAAAGGCTAATAGTGAGATTATAGTTTAGGACTAAAAAATCGAGAAAGGTTGCTGGTGAGTATTTTCTAAGCATTCCAAATATTTGGGAAAGGTTAAGGTCATTCGTAGAGAATAATTTAAGAGATAATAATGATATTTCTTTAAGGCCTTGTGGACGGAGAATTTAAACCAAACTCCACCTATGATAAATAATTTCCATTTTTTTTAAATCTTCCATCATACATCTTCTTAGTAATCATAGCAGTCATTGTAAAATAATTAAACACTTGAATCCTATGAAAAGAGGGAAAAGATCCTCAATAAAATGGTGCGCGATTTAGAACTAGCTCAACCTTTATCTTTATTTCAATTCCTTAATCTACCTATTCATCAACAATATGACTGCGCCAATCTCAATATTCATGGAATTTAGAATATTGCCTGGAATTTAGAATTGTGGCATGTGAAGAGGAGCAAAAAGAAGAGGTAGAGAGAGAGACTACTCAAGGGCTTGGAGATTTTCTTCAAGGATTGTAAGGGGAGAGGGAATGTGAGAGATTTCTTCTTCATTGCACTTCTAAGAGAGAATTAAGAGTGCTTGTATGGAGAGAAATGCTTGAAGAGAACTTCTAGGGATTTTCTTGGAAAGGATTGTGAGATAAGTTATATCTTTTATTTCATTTATTTTGTAAACTTGTTTTTATATATGAAATTCTTGTTTTGTCGTATCCTTCTCATGAATTCTGAGTAGTTTTCTTTATCATTCTCCCTACTTTAAGATATGATTTTGTGAAAAATTGATTTTGTTTTATAGGATTTTAAGTGTCAATAATTTATAATGATTTGAACTCCGATCTTTATTTACTTTTTGATTTGACCAATTGAATTGTTAAAATATGTTGAGAAACATATGTTCCGAAAGGGCTATGATTTCTACAACATGGTGAGAATCACATTTAATTTCATGAGAGAGGATGTCATCCATAAAGTTGAGTGCAAATAAATCGGGAAATATACTTTGTTGGATGCACAATTGCAGATTTTACGGTGATAGATTAAAATCTCCAATTTGGTCCAATTGATTGGAAATTAATGTGAGATTGTTTGCCCTTATGTGAGGGAGAAGTGGGAGCTCTAGAGTGGCAGCCAGTATCATCTCAGCCTAACTACAAAATTAGGGACCAAACTCTGAATTAGTCAATGTTCCTTATACACTTGGAAGAGGGTAAAAAATAAGATTACTCCTATTTAGCACAAAACAATTTTCATATATTTACAATTGATTTTAATTTCTTCACAATTCATATACTCATTGTAAAGGGGAATGATGCTTTCATATATTTGTATTCTTCGTCACAAAAACTTTATTTATTTTTTGTAATTTTACTTTTGAAAGCTTAACAATTAGTTTAATTAACTTTATTTTTTTACTGTATTTTATTTAGCATTTACTCTATTACATTATATTCAAATTTATCACTTCACTTTTGTAGTTTAAAATTGTAGTTTACATTATAATCTTAAAAATTTACTCATAGGCATTTCCAACTTCTCTGTGGGATCAATATCTAGGACTCCATTGCCCTTTATTACTTGAGCGATACACATACTTGTGTTATTTTTAAGGGATTTGACAGTTTAAAAATTTTTAAAAGATAAAATTATTTCCATTGAAGTTACTTTTATTGGGATTAATTTGAATATTTAATATTGTATCTGTTGTGTGTATTTTAAAATATTAAATTAAAATATTAAAAGTAAGTTATTTTATAATTTGAATTATTTTTATTTTAAACTTAAGAAAATAAGTGTTTATAGTTTAGTTTGAATATTTTCTTATTTTAGTGTGTTTTCTTATTTTAATTACTTATGGTGTTTATTTATGCGTAGTTTAAGATCTGAAGATTTAATGCCTTACGATTTTAGTTAGAAAGAACTATTAGAAAAATTCAAAAGAACAAAAAGAGATAGATCATATTAGCAATCTATGTTAGCTGCCTGAATAGCTATATCAAAGAAGATAGATCAATATGGAATGATTTATTCTCAAACATTCTTGAGGAAAACTCATTAGGACAAATGATAGAATCTCAATCTTCTTATGAGACCTTAAATGCAACAAATAATGAGTATAAAAATCCTTATGTCAACTATTATAATACTGGTTGGAAGAATCATCAAAATTTAAGTTGAAGTAACACTAACTCTAATGCTGCAAATCCGCAATGGGGAAACAACACTGCGAACACCTTAGGAAAGTCCAACAATCAAGGAAATCAAACTTATAAACCTAAGGAAATCCAACTTATAAACCTTATTACCCTTCAGGATTTAATAATTTGCAGAGTAAGGAGAAAAAGTTGTCAATGAAAAATTGATAATGCAAATGAGAAGCCAAATACAAGGAGTAAGGAGAAAAAGTTGTCAATGAAAAATTGATATTACAAATGAGAAGCCAATTACAAGGTCAAGGAGCTGTAATTAGAAAAATGGAAAATCAATTGGGATATATTGCTACTACACTTAGCAATATACCTCAAGGAACGCTACCTAGTAATGTTGAAGTAAATCCTGAAGATCAGAACAAAGAGCAAATTATGACTATTCAACTAAGAAGTAGAAAAGAATTGGAAAACAGAGTTCAAAAAGAAGTATTAGTTGAAGTTGAAAAAGATGAGGTGGAAAATGAAAAATCTTGTGAATATTCTCATTTTGAGTTAGAAAGTCCTATTAAACCAATTACAATCACTTTAGAAAGACCACCACCACCATTTCCTCATAGATTAAAATAGAAAAATAAAGATAACCAATTTTCAAAATTTTTGGAGATATGGAGGAAATTAACAATAAGCATTCCATTTGTTGAAGCCTTGAAACAAATGTCAAGCTATGTAAAGTTCATGAAAGATATACTTAATAAGAAAAGGAAGCTTTTAGATAATGAGACTGTTGCACTCAGTGAAAAATGTAGCGCTGTAATTCAGAAAAAGCTTCCTAAAAAACGTAAAGATACTAGAAGTTTTATTATTCCTTGTGTTATTGGAGAAAGATTTTTTGGAAAAACCTTATGTGATTTAGAAGCGAGCATTAATCTTATGCCTTTATCAATTTTCAGAAGGTTGGGTTTAGGATATATTTCACCTACAACTGTAACTCTCCAGTTAGCTGATCGTTCGATTACCTATACTAAAGGAGTTAGAGAAAATGCTTTGGTAAAAGTTGATAAATTTATCTTTCTTGTGGATTTTATTATATTAGATATAGAGGAAGATAAAGAAATTCCTATTATTTTAGGAAGACCATTCTTTGCCACTAGAATAGCTTTGATAGATGCGTACAAAGGAGAACTAACTATGAGAGTTAGTGATCAAGAGGTTACATTTAATATTGCAATATCAATGAGATACCCTGCAAAAGAGCAAGAGATTGAATACTTCAGAATGGATATTAACAAATTATTAAGCCATGAATATTTCAAGAAGACATTCAAAAAAAAATTTGATGAGGCATAATTGGAATATCAAGATGAGGATAAAATTCAAGATGAATCTACGAAAGTGAGTGAGTAAAGAAGATTTGGATTATGTTCAAGAAAAATTTGAAATGTTGGACCCTACAGAAAGTAATAAGAATTTGATTTCATCTATTGAGAAACCACCTAAACTAAAACTAAAAACACTTTATACATATTTGAAGTCTGCATTTTTAGGAGATTTATCTACATTACCTCTCCATTACCTCTTATAGTATCCTCAGAATTAACTCATAAGCAAGAACAACATTTATTGGAAATTTTAAGAAGATGTAAGAAAACCTTTGGATGGACATTAGCAGATATTAAAGGAATCAATCCTTCAATTTGTATGCATAGAATTTTACTGGAAGATCAACATGAACCAAGAGCTTACCTCAAAGGAGATTGAATCCTATGATGAAAGAAGTTGTTAAGAAAGATATTTTGAAA